TAATACTTAACAAAAAAACTTGATAGTAAAAAAGAATGACTTGGAATATCAATTGCTAATTAAAGTACATGTAAAAAGTAATGTTAACCGTAGGTATTATCATGACAGTAATTATTTATTCATTAGGATCGTTTAGAAAGTTTCACTTACCAGGGTTATCAGCTCGGAATCTGAACACAACGTATCCATTATTAGGAACAGCTATAGTATCCTTAGAAGGTGGTAGATTGAATTCTCGATTCAAGAGCCCTCGTCTATCAAGATCTAGTGCATGTTTCAAATTAATCTTCTTAACATTCCTGTCAGGCGAACGTCCCATACCAATAACGTTAAACGCATATCCATGCAAATGGAATGGATGTGAAAGGTTTGGTTGTTGTACTTCATCAACAAGAACAACTTCAACAATTGCATTATGTGGTATATCAACTTTATGCGTACACATACAATTGGCGCCACAGTCACCAGGTCTATTATCACCATTGCAAAACTGTTCAGGTGGAATATCATCGATTTGTGAGAGTGGTGGTGCTGGTGGGAACGTAAAGGAAATTTCATCGACCAGTGAGATAACGTGATCACCAGTGGGTGCGACTAAGAATCGATTATAAGTGTTAGGTTGGAATATTTCTTCTGGCCGATAGAATAAGAATCTGAAGGGTAAGAAAATCTTAACATCCGGTCTTTGTTGAAGAATACCTTCATCAATGTGTTTAGCATTTTTGAGTTGATTAACACAAACAGCATCTTCTCTTGGCATATTGCAAATAGCATCAAGAGGATTAAGTACAACACCTTGAGGAAGTCCAACATCATAAGTAGGACTAGGTGTGCTTGGCTGATAAGGACCACGAGCATATCGTAAGATACCCAACTGTTGAGCTCTCTTGATACCACATTCTCCAAGACCTCTAAGCTGAATCCAGTAAGCTCCGGCGGGTTGATCGGCATTAATAACAAAGTCGTATCGTTCTCCTGAAAATGAGATGATGGTGTTGACTTGAACTGGATGAACAGGTTCTCCGTCAGTAGCAATGAGAGTTAAAGTATGGCCTTCGAATGTAATTTGAGCTGGGCAAACAGATGCGAATGAATTGATCAGTCGGAATCGATATCTACGACCAGGAGTAATAGTAAATACTTCTAAAGGTGTGTTAGTCATAAAACCGGTATTGGGATCTCTGAATTGTCCTTTTCCATTGATCAAAACAGTCTCAGGATCTTGACCAGTATTAACAGCAAGTCTACCAGGATATCTTTCTGCAGCATCTTCATGCATCCAATCACTGATTAATACCACATGAGTGGTAAGATCATAGTCATAAAGATTGCTGTTAGGATCTTTAGATGGTGGTTGACGGATTACAATACTTCCGTACAGTCCATCAATTTTCTGAAGACCACTGTGAGCATGCCAGAAGTGAGTTCCAGCATTACCTGCAGTCCATTGATAACGGAAAGTATTTCCTTCTTGAATAGGACATTGAGTAACATATGGAACACCATCATAGTACTGAGATCCTCTCTGCCATACTCCATGCCAATGTAAAGTCACTTCCATACCATCCATATGGTTCTCAACATCTACAACCACTTTATCTCCTTCACATACTTGAATACTTGGTCCTGGAATCATCCGATTAGCAGTGAGAATTCCACGCTCTACTCCATCAGCTAAAACACATTGACAATGACTCCAGACTGTATTTGTTGCGTTAGGTGTGCAGACTTGGCAGGCAGCTCCAAGGACAGTGTAATATTCTAAAGTAAAGTGATAGTAACAAATCCTTGGCGGCTCGCCCTCTCGACAGGCTCGTGCACATTCATCAGGAGCTGAAAGTGCGGGATTTCTTCGTAACTCAGCTGTCGCTCGTTCACTGTAATCCAGTGGTCGTGTTCTTGGTGGTCTTGTCGTCACTCCTTGTCGTCCTAAATTATCAACTCCACCAAAACCACTCTGGAAAACACTACCAGATCCTCTTGGATGCGATTGCACTAGACCATGAGCTGATGAAAAGAATCCAGATGAACTGTCTTGCGTAAAAATATTTCCTGTTTTGATGGAAGGACTCCAGAATGATGAGGCACCTGTTTGATCAGTTGAAGATACCGATGATGTTACATCTGAAAAATTAACATCAAGAAAAGGTTAAAGAATCTTAGAACAAGTCAACAGAGAAATCAATACGGTATCATCAAGTTTATAAAAGAAATTTCTAAATAGCATGTTTTTATTGAAGAATACTCAATTATTTTCTTCGTCAACTTATTTAAAGGCTTGAATAAAAGATTAATTAGATAACTTGGAAATAATTGCAAGAAACTTTTGATATCGCCAATTTGAAATTTGTAATGGTGAAGGATTCATTGTAAGACAGATCAATTGAAACGGTTATTTCAAAGCGAAAGCGTGTACTCGACCTTGACCGAGGGAGAGTAAAGATTAAAGTTGGTCTGAAAGATTCATTCATAACTGACATTGGTTGTGAGATAAGTGAAATGTATCGGTTTAATGAGAATAACTTAATTATTTCATTTACTTTAATAAAAGCTCTCAACTTAAATGTAAACTACTGAGCATGACAATCGCGAACGATCAGTCACGGTAAACAGAACTAGTGGTTACAAGCGTTCGCGCATAACCTAAGTCATAAACTGCACCTTAAACGTTGAGACGCGATTGACCGAGAAAGCTGAATATTTCTTCATGTTCAGGAAATTCAAGTGGTGCGCGACCGGTGGTCTTTAACTAGTTTATAGTCCACGAGAAAGTCCTAAAATTAATTTGATTGTTATGTAACAGAGTCTACGAAATTGTAAAGAAGTTGGAAAAAATGATTTAGATAAAAAAAAATTATTACTAAGTCAGATAGATTTCATTACAGTTTTTCAACAACATAATTTTCTAATTCGAAACAATTTTCACATTCTTGAGCATCAATCATTAGTAGAGAAATTGTTTCTCTTATTCAACAGTTAATTTATGAAAAAAAAAACAATAACAAAAAATGATAGAAAATATTATAATTTAAAGGTAAATAAATCACCAGATGTTGTTATTTTTTTTTACCTACTTTGTAATTGATTGAACGATTGCTATTTATAGAAACATCTATTTATGTTATTACGTTTGCTTCTGAGGTATGTACTCTACCGTAATAGGAGTAAAAGTCTTTTCTCATTCAGATTCATTGTTAAAAAGAAAAAAAAAAGATTATCTCAATTTGAAGTATTTTCACTAACATAAAATCCAATTTAAAGATAAAGACAAAAAAATAATTGAGTGATTTACTATCAGAAACATGCTTCAATAATATTTTATTCCAATAAGAATAAATTGCTAAAAGAATTTACTACACCAACTAATATCATTATTTTTATTTATTAAACAATATGACTTTTAAGATAATTTATTCACCAACACTACAAATCCGGTAAAATTCGAGTGTTTAGTAATAAAACGCTTAAATTGTTTAATAATTAAACATCTAATTGTTTACAATGTTGAACACCATGAACAAACTATAGTATTTTCGTGAATAATTATTTTAAAACAAAAAGAAAACAATTTCAATATCGATAAAAATATAATTTCATAATTACATTAAATTAAAATTAATTAACGTAATTATCTCGATTGGCTTATTTTCATCTAATAATGTTGATAATTAATTAATTAAGTTTTAATTACTGAAATTTTTTGTTTGCGGTCTGTATATCTAACCGATGGATTGAATGAAAACATGAATTTCATAGTCTATGTGTGATTATGATGAAAATCTCTTTCGATGCAAAAGTGTGTCACCTTTTACCAGAGATATATCATGTGTATCATGCACTAAGAATATAACAGATTTATCGATGTATGTTAGTCATTAGCCAGGAGCTACAATGTGTATTTTGATCCTTAGTAACCCATATCAACTAGTGTGATTATGGTTAAGCCCTCGTCCGATGAATAGCCAGTGTGTCTAGAATGCTTTCGTAAGTCTATTGCAGTTACAGTGCATCAAGTATCACATATTGCGTGACTTTGTGGTATAATGTTAATTATTTCAGGTATGACAATTCGCGTAATGCTTGTGAAACGAATTGCGAGGGTTAACATCATTTTTAAAATCAAATGTTATGATTATATTACTTCGTGGTGAGTATCACGGTTACTATATGTGAGCTATGAAACTTGCCAGAGTGTGGTAAACACACACCAAGTGGTGCAGAAAGCGTGACACGGATTCAAACGGTTAATACTCCGTTAGATCGGAAATAAAGAGTGCCTACGTCTCTCACTCTTTTTACCCTTGCTCGTCTTCGCTTTCATCCATGTCTGTGAGAGGTAATTTGCAACTGTATCAGCAATGCACTTTGCATCTCTATCGCTCTAGATTTCGCTTAATACCCTCAGGCAATGTCTTAGACGTAAACCTGACATAAACTAAATAAAAATACGACCGACAACGAAAGAGAAACTGTTTTAGTCATTAAAAAAAAAAAAATAACTTATTTGATCATTAGAACTTCACTTTCAGGGCATTATGAATAAATTTTTGTTCACTATTTATCGATTGAATTATTTATTGATTCTTTATTCATTTTGAATTGTAAAAAAAAATTATTATATTGGAATTAATTTATTCCAAGTGATGTAGATAAAATCATTTAAATAACAACTATGATTAGGAACAAGTTTTAATTTATTGTTGTGAATAAAGAATAAAAATTTTTTTTTTTGTTTATAAAAATTTCATCAAGTTTATGTGATACAAATATTAATTAGAGCATTTAAAGATTTATAAGAAATAATTTTTTTTTTACACGAAGTTTTTCAAAGTGTATCTCGATGGTGAAAGTATCTTTCATTATTCTGTAAAGAGTTTTATCGATCTAATATTAAAATTGAAGGAGATTTTTTTTATTCGATAAAATTGATCGTAAACATGCTTATAAAGTGATTAAGTCGTCAAAAGAAAGAAGTTAGCATTGAAACTTTTGGCGATGTCAAGTCCATAAGGCCAAGTTCGAGGTTCTTACGCACTACGAAGTTTTTATTTTACTTTGACTCATGACGAAAGTTGATTCGCCGGTTTTTTTGTTGCGTCTTATCGGTAATAAAAGACTTTATTTCCTCGAAAAAAAACCAACAACAACAAGAACGATGTAAACATCATTTGACGATGATAATCTTCAAACCTGGCAAAAATTTCACCTGTAACTTCTTCGTCGAAATCTAGTGTCTCGCAGTTTTATTACGCCCTCTATCTGTTTTCGAGTCAAGAAATCTGTAGGCGAATATCTTTCTAAGAAAGACACGCGACGAGAATGTAAAGAGAAAATACGGACGTTTTCTCTCGCTTTTCTGTGACACCAACGTGACAGTTAACTTCCGATTGTCACTGAGAAGTCCCGAGGAAAGTTTTTACTTCATCTATTGTTTCATTTCATCATTTTTTGTAGGAGTGACTGGCGAAAAAATCACTCTGCCACTGTATGTACTTCTTGACGCTAATTTCTGTTTCTTTGTATATACGCAGCCATTTATACTGCCGGAATCCAGAAAGTTTTATGAAATAAACGTTTAGCCTACAAATATGTTGAATAAAGGTGTTGTAAATAAGACTTGACATTTTTAGACGAGCCTACTGTCATTTTTATTATTTACAAATAACAATGGCTTTTTAAACATTCTGCTCGACAAAGGTGTGTTTTGATTTTTCTATCAAAGTTTTTTTTACAATCAAAAAAATCCAGGGTTTTTTTTGAAATAAAATAAATAATTCTTCGAAAATATACACACTAACTTTCTGCCTATTGATTTATTTGTTTTCTATTATTTTGAAAAACATAAAAAAAGGTGAATGTCTATTTTATCAGAGAATTTAGGTTAGAATTATTATTTATAATGCAACTGGTTTTTTTTTTTGATAAAGTATTTTTCTACAAATGCATTTATACTAGATAATATTTTTTACGAAAAATTAAGGAGCCATTTTTAAATGAATGTTAAAAATACTAGTCTTGTAGTCAATTATCATTGGTTTAATTTTAATTTTAAACAACACAAATTCTAAACTATCAATTAATTTTTTTATTAACCCATCAATTCTCAAGGGTGAAAATAGAAATATTAATTGATTTTATTATTTATAACAATTATAAATACATTTAAAATAAGAAAATTTTAGTACAGAAAAATATTGATTATTTCATTTATATATCAAATTTATTCTTTTATTCTTACTACTGAAAAAAAAATCAAAATTAAAATCCTGCGTTTACACAACGATGGGGTAAAGATATAAACATTTTATTTTCTAATAAACTTTAATTCTACTGCAGAATAAAAAAAAAAATTTAATTTCAATCGAAACAAAATAAAGAAATTTTTTAATAACATTGCAATTACATGATTGAATGTTTGGGCCATCAATCAATATTTTTTAAAATCCAAAACATCAATCACGTCGATAAGATCACATTGAAAATGATATTTTATACAAAATAACTTCAAGAAAGATTATTACAATATTTTTACTGTCTATTAAACATCCTTTTATTCATAAATAAGCTCATCTTGATCGGATAATGGCATTCTCTCGAATGATAAACGATAAATCATTAGTTCTATATAAACAACTTGATTCAGACTGAAAAACAAAGACATTGGGAAAATAATAGATCCTTTAATGTGCACTTTGACATATTGGAATCGTCGCGATCAACATGAGGATCGTGCTGTGAGGGTGTGGAACCCAGAGGTTGGTTGCGAATCTCGAGTGCACACAGGTCGCCACTTTCCCGACCTCGTCGTTTAATACCGATACACGTTTTGCTTGTCTATGCCGTTCTCCTGAGAATCTAGCTCTCCCTAGTCAAGTAAAACAAGTTCGAAGACTATTTCATTTGTGAGAACGAGGAGAGGATATTTTTTTAAATTGTTTCGAGAGATCTTTATTAGCATCACTGCCTTTCTTTTTCTAACTCTTACTTTAGATTATTATTTTTTTTTCTTTTGCTATTTCTTTTTTGCCACAATAAAGTCGTATATAGGCCTGACGATCAGCTGTTAAACATCACCGTTAAGGACGTCAAGTTCGAGATCTCTTTACAAACTGGTTTGTACAAGGATTCACAGTTGTTAAGCCGGTGTATTAACACGTGCTTATTTTAAGAGATTGAGGAACCAGGTCCTTAACACAGGTGCACGATGAGAAGAAATGTAATCACGTGGTCATCTTTTCCTACTTTCTATAAACGTGTGAAATAATTTTTTATTCTATTTTTTTTGTTCGAAATTTTTTTTTCGCCAACTACTAATGATTAATGTCATTATTTATCATTTTTTTTCGCACATTTTTTTGATAAAAAATTAATTTTATTATTCAACGTAACATTTATTTCATTCATTTCATTTCACTTAAATTGATTGTAATTGCAAGAATATACGTTGATAATTATTTTCAAAGTTCACACAAATAAAGAAGCAAAATCAAATAAAATGTTTTAAATAACATTGTGTATAAATTGATTAATGATGAGGATAATTATGATGATTTAAATTGAAGGGTAAAATATATAAAATAGTTTTGATAATAAAATCACATCACATCAACACAATCACTTGACAAATATACAAACTCACCCTTCTTCCGCTTGGTGGTGTTTTGAACTCGCGTAGTAGTGCACTCAAGCACGAGGAGTCCAATGATGAGACATAGAATGACACCTTGGTGTCCCATGTCTTGAGGGAATGTTTGTATTAAGACTAAAGTAGTGTCTTAAACACCAGCTCGACCGCAACTGACTGACTTGAACACTCTATCTGATATCCTGTGCTGTCACTTTTTCTCCTACGTTCCCGCCTTTGAGATTTGGTATTTAATTCACCGGAGCATTAGCGTTGTTTTAAAGAGGTTCAGATGAATAAAAATGAGTTTAAAATCACTTGATAATCACTGGTAATAGGGGGAATAAGAGGGAGGGGAAGGGGAAAATATGAATTAAGAATAATTTTAATAAGTCTCAGCCGCCTTCTGACGATGTGCGCGATGACAAAGAGCAGCACTCAACACGGAAGGTTCAGGGTAGCACACCTATTTAATACCTATCTTTCCACCTCGACACTCCACCACACCATTGGCTCCAGCCCCAATTCGCCTTCATGCCCAATCGTACACTCTCCTGCGCGTTCACCTCCTTTTCCGTTATACGCCGACGACGACGGCGCTCTGGAGGACGGTGGGAGTAGATGTGACGAGAGCCAGATAGACATGCGATAGGATTTGCTGCACAGATCAAGGTAATGGACCTATATTGCTACATGAACATACTTTTACATGTAATAAGTCATGTAAATAATTTGGAGTAATGTTCCTCTAGCTTTGAATTGTTTTATGAAACAATACTGTCAGTAAAAAATATTTAGGTCCAGTGACGAAATCATCAACACTTTGATGAAATATATATTTGTCTATCGTTTCTCAGGCAACTTCATCGATTCAATCAACTGACGGAAGTTTACCAGAGTTTCTTGTGAAGTTTTCAACATGGAAAAAAACTTTAGGAAATTGTAGGAAAAGAAGTTTTTTTTTGTTGATAGGTGAAATATGGATTTTTATTCATTATATTATTCAATTTACTAAATGAAATTTGCCTTATCATTAATTATTATTAAATCTTTTTTTTTTCTCGGTCTACATGTATTTTAAATTAATAAAATATTTTATTATGTTATATTTATAAGAAGTATAAATTATTTTATACGATTGCAAGGTATGATTTATAAAGTTAAAGTATGTTTTTTTTTTAACACATTTTTTCTAAGGTCATGATAAAAATTATTCGTGAAAATATTTGAGATTAAATCTGAAAGTTAACACTTCATTTCTCTTCACACACTGTTGGTTTATTTAGCCAATAAGATTCACATCTATGGATAGAGTTTGGTGATTGGAACTCATTTTTAGAATTCACAATCATTTTTAACCTATCGTTTTTTTCTATATTTGGTTATGCTTGAGTGAAAAAAAATTATAAAGAATAATTGATTTGGCAATTAAACAGGTTTGAAAGTTGTTGGATTAATAATATTCAAAGTGGTTTTGAATATATCTAATAAAAATAATTCGAATGTATAATATTTATAACGAAAGGAATAAATTTGAAATATATATTTTCACTTTTAGCATAAAGTTTTTTAAAACGGAAAAAACATTTTTTAATCATTCATAACTCTTGTATAACTTTTATTTCCGCTGTAATGAATTAATTACAATTCATTAAAACGTTCTTTCCTCGTGCCTTTCAAAAAAAAATGCATTCATTTTTCGCAGCATTTATTTTTTGATTAGTTCTCGTGTGTTCTATCTTATTCAGTTTGTAGTTTTAAATTTAATGTATTTTATTTAATTGATTCTTAATAAAAATAGGTAAGTATTAATCATTTTTTAAAACTATTTTACTTTTAATCAATGCTAATGTAATGTTGCTTTTTAAAGGTATTAATATGTGAATCATATGCTCAACTTTTAAAAAGTGACTTCAAGTTCCTCTTTGTAGTCCTGGCCTTTTGACTGATAGACACCGATGAAAGGATCTTCTCTAGAGAAAGTAAAGATGTGTAATTTATATAAAAACAATAATAAAATTTATTGAATAAAAATTATTGAAATATTATAATGATAATTTAACTCTGTTTTACCAACAGATGATTTTTTTTTATTCAAGTTGAAATAAATCACAATTGATTGATCCTCAGTTAATGATCCAATTATCGCAGTTTCTTACTTTTACTTGCAAATTAATGTAAATATTCATTAAAAATAATTTGATAATCAAATTAACTTCATACAACTATATTTAATAATTTTTCAAAGAAATTAAAATACAAACAGACATTACATAAATCTACTGAATTTTGCAACAACTGTATTTATCGAAGCTTCCTCGGAAAAATTAAATCTTTAATCCAACTAAATAATTGGACAAATTGCAAATTAGATAATCAACAATAATCATAACAATTTAACGAAAAAAAAAAAAGGATTATTCAATCAATTTAGCAGTCCATATTGAATATAATTCTCTAAGTCACGGAAATACTTACGTGAATAACAAATAATTGGAATAATAACAATGATTACATCGATAATGTCTATATATGCTTCTCCATCGTGCGTCAATAGCTATCTAATAAAATTTTTTTGCAACTTATATCTGCGAAATATCGATTAAGAAAAGTAAATAATGCATATATGGGGAAGTAAAGGGAAAAGATAGCCACTAACACCTTTCGCGTGAGCGCCACACGCACCGCGAGATAGATAATCAATCCAAAGGATTCTGATGCTCTCTCTTATTCGCGCACCTTGGCAATGAGAAAGATTGGTATGCTTGTGGGTTTAGCGCACGTCTCGTTTCGCTTCGCACGAATCGTTGTTGGTGCAATCACCTTTCTCTGTTCCATTATAACCGATGTTGATGCACTGTATTTGCAGTTAAGCTTAGAATATCGTCGTTAAACTTTCTTCAAACTAAAGTCTTTAGACGCAAAACGTGATGCAGAAGTGCAACATAATAATTTACGGATGTAGATTAAATTTATGAGTGAAATAATAATCAGTAAGTATTAAACGTGCTTTCTTGAATATTTTTTACATGCTTGTTAGTAAATATAATGACTTAATAAGTGTTTCGGAAACATTTTGATGGATCATTATTATCATCGTTATTCACCACCTCCTGTCGTCAGCTGTTTACTCCAGATTTTATGTAGAAAATAATAACCCAGTTACTTAAGTTGCGCCTCAAGTAACACTAGAATTTAAGCATAAACCATGTTTGCACAACTCTCTATATCCTCTCAATTTTTAATATACTTTACTAATCTCAGTGGCAAATGTGAAACATTTGAAAAGCAACTTTCTCTCTTGAAACAATTACAAGTACAGAGTGCAAATGTAAATGTACGTCCTGTAACTTGGGACGCATTTAAACTGCCTATGTTAGAATTTCTTTCGTTTCTATTTCTAACAGTCTCACGCATTATTCTACTGGCCGAGTAAGGATTGTCTGAACTTCAAATACTCATGCGATGACACGACAACGATTATTTTCATCAATCTTGGAGAAAAATACTTTCGAATTTAATTTAAATAAAAACAACATTGTAAAAAGGTCTTTTTTCTTTGCTAAAATAGATTTCTTCCGTTTGGATACACTTTTATCAAAGCATTTTCTTCAACATGTTGGAATAAATCTAAAAACTTCTTTTTTATGTACTTCAGGTTTATTTAATACAAGGAAATTTAACTTTATAAATTATTTGATGAAATTATAATCAATCGATATTAACTCAAAAAACAAATCAATGTCATCTTAAGAGAGGTAAAAATTAATATATTTATATATTATAAAATAAATGAACTTGTTGTTAGCAACAATTGACCCATTTAATAAATTATTATTAATTCTAATGAATTAATTTAATAAACGTAATAATTATTTTCTTATTCTTTTCCAAAGTTATTGTTTTGATTTATTTTACAATATATTTAATAATATTGGTTGTACCATATGTGTTATTGAATGTACTGTAAGGTTAATAATTAAGACGGAAGTCAAAGATATTACTTCCGACCGAACCCTGTAAATCAATAAAGCAACTAGATTGAAACAAAACATAAAAATAACTGCATAAAATATGTCTTAAATCATTTCGAGTCATGAAGGTATTTAAATTTAATATTTTTTTTGATGGCAAAGTTTTTTTTTAAAAATGTGATCTTAAAACTGTCACTGTTGCTGTAGTTATCGACTCAAATTGATATGAGGCAATAAATTGATTAACAATTTAGTGATGAAATTTACAACATAGCTGAAGGGTAGAATATAAATTTATTTGCTTAGCTAGAATATTGATAATCACTTATATTTGTAAATAATTAATTATAATTGAATTAAAATTGACTAGTAATGACCATACTTAATTTTTTCTAACACTTTACTTGATCATAAATTTCGCATTCTGATCGTAATCACATATTAATTAGATTGTTACGATTTAATGCTTTATAGATATAATCTTATTAAAATAATTCATTAATTAATTAATTTGTTAAAAACCAACTTGATTGAAGTAAAAATATTTTTTTTAGTTAAATAATTTTTGTTAGTTGACTTTTTGAATTTTCAATTAAATATACTTTCATGTCAGTTCTCAACTTATTAGTAGTTTAAATTTATTTTTGAAGATAAAATATTATTGCATACAATCAGATTATTGCATGCATAAGTAGTATTTATTTTTTTTATCTAAACTAAGCTGATAAGTCTTAAAAAATAAAAACGTGCTTTAACTAACGAAAACTTTTTATTTCTTTCGGTTCAGAAAAGCTTTACTTGAACTACTTTTTACGGTTTATTTGTGATTGGTCATAACAGGACAACTTTAAAAATAAAATGCAATGAAGAATAAATTGAATGTTATAAATTATAACGAGATTTATATTTATAAAAATTCATAATTTTAAAATAGAGTAAAAAGATGACAGATTTTTATTTAATTTTTGGTTATTGTTATATGTAGCTAATTTTATACATTTTTGAAATTAATTGTCAAAGTTGAGTAAAGTAAGCTTCAAAAAAAATGACACAGTTAAATTTTGGCATATTTTTATTTTTTTAACTCTGCATAATAACATGAAAAAATTTTCAATTAAAAAATTAATTACTTTTGAAAAAAGAACTGACATGCTTGGATTGATATCTTTTTCAATAACTTCACAGTACTAGACAGATAAGTTATAAAAAAATTAAAAAAAAATGATGATGATGATTATTATTATTATAAATTGGTATTTAAAAAAATTATCTATTAAAGATTGTTTTAATGAGATAGAACCAAACATTAGTACATAATAGAAGTCTCAGTCGTTTTAATATTTATATTCAATATCAACACTACTATTGTTTCATCTAAATGAATCATCATTTTTTTCTCCTTGTCGCTTCAAACGACATTAGAATACTAGAATTTTTTGGAGCAGTGACTTTTGGGGACATTGCACCATAAAGTTAATTTCTCATGACATTTGA